GCTTCTAACAAAATATAAGTCAATTCAAAAAGCAACAAGGTAAAATATAAAGCATTAAAGATCTGATTATGTATATGTGGGAAAAAGTAATTCTACAAGTCCCACAACCCAAAGCTGTGAAGGTCAGCTTTTTAAAGTTGGGCCTGGAAATATACTAGAAGCTACTGAGGAACACCAAATTTGGTAGCTTAATTTTTGCAAGTGGCAAAACAAGTTTAAATAATTCTACATAACCGTTACTAATAGTCAACGTTGAATATATGAGCAATACGCCAGACTAAAACTATGTAAGTTCTCCCTTTGATACTTTATTGGAAAATAGCATCCAGAAATCAATATATAATCAAATCATCTTATAAGCCCTTGCTGAATCAAACAGCAACTATATGTGGCTATTATACTTGGGCCCACAAAAGTACAGCAATTTGGCAGTGTAAAATGTGTTTTTATTGCACAGAGTTTAGCTTTCCCTGAGAAGGGAGAAGTTCTTGCAGACATAAAGATTTTTAAAATCAAGAACTAAGATTTTCCATGCCCAAAGTAGAGACTTTCAGTATAGACTTCCCTTCCTACTCCAAAATCAGCAGAAGCAATCTAGTAAAATTAGCATAATGAATTATGGAACAGACAAACTATGTGAGTTTGTATAATTTATAAGGCTCCAAAACTCAACCATTTTTGGCAGAATTGGGATTACATCCACACAGAATTTCATGTGTAGCCCAGAATGCACAGAATATGGCAGCCAGTTTAATAGGGCGGGGTGGGGGGGCGGACATGGGAGGCTTCAGTTATGCAGGACAAAGAAACGGAGTGGTTGGGTCTCATCATGCACATGAATGGTTCCAGCTTTCTAGATGGAGGAGGGGTGTTTGCTTTATTCTAAACTATATGAAGCCTATTTTAGCTTTCCACTATAGTAACCATGTGTTTTGTAGGACATCATGTTGGCAATGAAGTCAAAGAGGATCCAGGTGGTACAAGAAAGGATTGGGGTAATAGGATGCCCACCCTGGCATCATCCTTGACCATCATCAACCAGAGCCATCCCTATCAAATAAACTTCATACCTTCTGTAAACACCTGTTAATGATAGAATAAATGTCCAAGGAATCCAGGTTGTGAGCAGCTCTGGCACATTAAGGCCACCACAAAAATCACCGTTGCCATATAGAAGCATTTCTGGTGAGGTCCTAACTTGATAATCAGGTAACCTACCAAACATCACTGCAAAGAATCTTGGATTTAATGCTGGTTCATTAATTCTGAGTAGGAAATATGCTTTGATTCCACAAGGCCCTGTAAAAATACTGAAGAGAGAAACTGGAGGCAGGATTGAAACTACAAGCAACCTTGGGAATCTGGACTACTGGGTTGGTCCCAGTAAAAAGGGATGTTGAACAGCAGTCAGTAGACCAGCCGTATCTCACAGGACAGTTTTATTTAATATGATTACTTTCTTCAGATGTTTAGCATTTCAAAACTGATAGAGAATTCACAGTTCCATTCATAACAAAACAATTTTTTTGGTTTTCACAATTGCTTGCATGAGACTTCATTCTCCAGTCCAGCACCCTGGCCAAAGGTGGTGCAAATCAGAGGCAACAGGATAAACTGTGTTACAAAATACAGTTCTGGTCTCTGGCTCAGGTGTCCAGAGAATAAATATTCATGCACACAAAATGAGAACTTTCTGAGTTTCCCAGAAGCACCAAACTACCATTTTGGAAAACAATGATGGAAGTGGACTAAATCAGACGTTTTTTTCTGATCCAGCAAGATTCCTGTTTTAGTCTGGCAATATCTCTATTACAGCCTCAGCAAGATGCACTATCTGGCCAACCTTAGCTGATCTAGAAGGCTAAATAGGATTGGCACCATGGGGAGCCCTCTGGGAAGTCCAAGGCTGTTTCCCAACCTTGGCAACCTCAAGATATGTGGACTTCAGCTCCCAGAATTCCCTAGCATGCTGGCTGGGGAATTCTGGGAGTTGAAGTCTCTACATCTTAAGATGGAGAAACACTGGGCTAGACTGAGAAGTGAATAAAACGTTCCAGAAGAAAGCAATGGCAATTCCGTATCATGACAAGAAAACATTGTGGATACAACTATGTAAGTCACCAGGAATCACGCTCAACGCAGAGAAGACTTCACTTTATTGTACATTTTATTTAGGGAAAAAAACAATACTACTGGCAGGAATAAATTCAGATTAAATAAAAATAAAATGAAGAATGGAAGCTCTACATAGAGGCATGCAAAACATGGTTTCTGGCAAGGTTATGTCATTATTAATGAAGGGGTTAGACCAGGGTATCTCAGCCTTGGCAACTTTAACATGTGTGTACTTCAACTCCCAGAATTCCTGAGTTAGACTATCTCATAAGAGTTAGGGTTAGGGTTAGAGTTTAGCCCCCAATGATGCATGATCACAGAAGTGCAGCATGTAAGACATAGGGTGCAACAATCTTGCTCCAACTTGGCAGCAAAAGTGGCCTCAGCTGGAGGTCTGGGGTTGACTGAGGAAGCTCTACCAGCCAACGTAGGCAGCAGACTTTGCCTGCCAATAGGAGCACCAAAGTATGATAAAGAAAGTTTGCATGCACACGGGACCATCTAACAAGGAAATTCTCTTACACAAGCACCATTAGGATGAACATGCTTTGATAGCTCTGCCCATGTGAAATGTGCATGGCAAAAGAGAGATTGTGCAATCTAAGACCAGAAGGAAAGGAAAAAAGCTATGAACACAGCAATATGTTTGGCAACGAACTGGAAAGGGATGAAAGAGATTAAGAAAGCATATACTGACACGTGTTTCAATGTCTAAAGTGTTGCTAAAAGGAGAAATATATTCTCTATGGCCCGCTAAAGGAAGAACGCAAGCAACTGGCTCAGGTGGAAAACCAATGAGATTGGAGCTAGGCAGTGAGAGGAAATGTGTCCAAGAACAACTGGGCAGCTGTGTTGCCCAGTACAAGTTGTCAGTTTTGTGTGCTTCAGTAGAGGAGCTTCGTAAGAGGCAGAGAGAATTTCTACCTTAGGGATTGTTTTAAGTTAGCAATTGTGGAGAGCTCAGATTGATTCCTCTGCACGCTCCAATTCTGGAACATTTTCCAATTCCATCCATTAACCCCAAAATATATAGGAGGGTCTTGCACATGGAACTATACAGCAGAAAGTCCCAAAGTTGAATGGCAGTTGGCTATTTTGCCCAGGAAGAGGTCACGAGTGAAGCCCAGCATGCCACTGTATGTTCTGCACTATTGCACATAAGGCTGCAATCTTATTCAGGGTTAAACTGTTCCTAGACTGTATAAATTATGTAAATTGAGAGAGCTGAAAAGGCATTCGAGAGAGGCAGCCCTTTTCAAGCGACACAGAAGATATATTTGTCCCACTATTACCTCTGGTTCAAACAGGTTTTGCAGATTTTTGAAAGTACAGAAATCTGCTTCACGGAGTTGAAAGGGGATTGAATAGATACAAAACTGCCAATGGTTCTTCTTTCAAACCTCCTTCTAGGCAGCGCTCTGAAAAATATTCTTACTTCTTCCATAAATGTGTACCCTACTCTTAGGTTACCACAGAATGTTCCTCTGAGGTTGTTGCTGCCAGGGCCAGTTCCTGCAAGCTTCAGCCTCTGCAGCTACAACACAGCAAACCTCACTCAGTCAGGAACAATTCCTCCCTGTCACAGTGCATGGAAAACTGGATATTGCAACCAGAGGAAGCACAGAAAAGCAGCTCACGAAACATCACCGGGTTGTGTAAAAAGGCCAATGGCCACCACAGCCCTACCTAGCAGTCTAAAAGCATGGTAGCAGATCATACTAGCTTTCTACTGGATTAACAAATCCATTTCTGTGTGGTTCCCACTGCCTTTGTAAATGCAATGCATAATCGGTGCAAAGACAGGAAAAATCATTCATTGTGTATCCCACATAATAGAGAGCGGGGAGCCAGTCTGGACCAGCCTAGCAGGGGGAGCGGATTAGCTGTGATTTAAGAAAGCTTTTGACAAGTTTCATGTTTTGACTCGTGTTTCTAATAAGAAGGGGTTCTCCCTCCCCCCTCCCCTTCAGGCTGGGCAGATCTGCCAGGGCAAATGGAGAGGGGGAATTCCAGGTGATGTAAGTAACACCGTCTCTATATATCCGTTTGCTTTTTCTGTCAGGCAAAGGGAGCTGCAAAGGAAACACTGGGATGGGGTTGAGAAGAATCTCTTTTTCACAGAAGAGGTAGAGATGCAAGCAAGCTGACCTATACAGTGAAGAAGAGACCACAGTTGTTTGCAAATCTCTCAAGGAATTCAAAATAAATTAACAGAGCGATGAAGAATCAAGGTGAGGCAGCTGGTATCACAAACCCTCTCATCAAAGGCATTCTTCTGCTCTCCTTAGAGATACCCTCAACCCCCACTGCACCCCAATTCTTTCCAGGCCCTTTTTGCCCTGCACACAAAGGAATATGCATTTAAACCATTTGTTCAAAAGGATGTAATTTCCCCCAAAACAGACAAATCTCATCTCGAGTGGGGGGCGGAGTGTGGGGGAGGACAAGTCAAGCACAGCTCAACAGATGCTCTTCATAAACCCTCCAGAATTTTTTTGGGGGGGGGAAGAAGAGAGAGAGGGAGAAGATTATAGCTACAGAACTGTATCCAACAACAATAAAACACGGGAAAAAGGGCTGCCTCTATGCTGAGTGTGGAACAGCCACGAGCCAGCTGTGCAGCAGTTTGAAATCATGACCTGATTTTTCAATTATGCCTCTTCTCCCCACTTCCCTCCCCCTTTAGCCAAGCCATCTGACACAAGGAAGAAGAGGGATCTGCCGCAAGGAAAAAAGGGGAAGCAGGACGAGACCGCCAATGGGGCCAGCCCCCTGGGGCCACACTTCCAGGTTCTCCAATGGGCCCCCAGCCCCCTTTCCCCAAGCAGGAGGGCAGGCAGCAAAATTGAACAGTTTGCAGTTCAACTCTGCTCCAAAGTACCCACCTGGCTGGTGCGGTCTGGATGCTCCGTCAGCGCGGCAGGATCTCTCTAGGAAGAAGAAAAGCGAGAAGGATCGCTTAAATCTGTGACGGTGATGAGATCCTGGAAAAGTCCTCCTCCGATCGCTCTTTTCTTGCTGCGCCCCTTTCTCCTTCTCGCTCAGACATATATGTTGTTATGGGATCCCTGAAAGGGATCCACGATCCACTCACTGGGATCTCGCTAGCAGCAGCAGCCTTTCTACAGCGCCTCCGCGAGACGGGAACCTGCCAGCCGGCCGCCCAGCCAGCCTGTTGTCTGGGCTCCTAACGCAATCCTCGGAGAGAGTTCTCATAGCCCAACGCAGGCATTCCGGGTCCCCCTTTTCTCGCCCGGCCTTACCCACCCCGCGATCCGGAGTCTCTCGGCCAGCCCAGACCTTTGGCTTGGGACGGGAGGTGCCTTGTGGCTACCCTCTCTTGTTCTGTCAAAGCTCCTTTCTGCCAGCCTGCTCGCCAGGTTTCTTTCCACCAACGCTCTTTTGGCGCTTCTTCTCGGGACTTCGCTGCCCTGGCAGAGGGCCCCGGCTCCGAGCGGATGGGGAGGAGGCTCCGATTCGAAGCGGCGGGGCTCCGCTCTGTTCCCCCCGCAAGCAGACCCCGGGGGGGCAGCCGTGGTCTTTCCCCCTCGCTTCGCACCGGCTTCGTCG